TAATATTATAAGAAGTTTCAGCTTACTTAAAAACTTAAATTTAGTTTAGTTTTTTATTTTTTTTTAACTATAAAACCTGCTGGAATTTAACTTATCTTATAATTTACCGAATATTTAAATTTTATTAACTAATTTAAAGCTTTATTTAATACTATAACTATAGTAATATTAATTATTTTTATCTTATTATAATTAAATAAAAATAAATAGAGTATTTTTTTAAGCTTCTATATCTCTTTTTTTTATATTCTGTTTATCTGAGAACAGTGGGCCTATTATTTATAAGATTTATAATATTTATAATAATTTTTTTAATTATTTAGATTATTTAATTAACCGATTAATACAAAAGCAGATATTTTAAAAGAAGAAAATTTTTAAAAGTTTATAGAATATATATTAAAAGCTCTAAAAGTACTACTATTATATTTATTAGATAGAAGACTATATCTATACTATTATAATTATTCTAAATCTAATATTAAAGTTTAAGAAGTTTAAAAAGAATATATAACTAAATAATAATATTAACTAGTATAAAAAATATTAAATTATTTTTAAAAAAAATATTCTATTTTTATTATAGTTAGAACCCGGCTATTAATATACTGTTAATAATCTCCGGATTTTTATCGGACTTAGATAAAGTTTTTTATAATATTTTTAAATACTAAAGACTCTTACCCGCAGCAGAAATATTTAAAAAACTAAAAATATATTTAGATATTAAAAATATATAGTTTATTAAAATATCTTAACTTATACTAATATTATTCTAAATATTATAAAATATATTAATATTTTTGCTTACTGAAAGTCTTGCTGAGATTAGTTTTTTATTTTTTATTAGATAGCTAGAGATTTTCTTTTAGTTATAAGTAATAGTATTAGTATTAAATATTTATTTAATAGTTTTTAAAATATCTACTATTATTACCGAAGCTGTTTTTATTCTAATATAATTAAAGCAGTTATACTTTAAATATATACTAATTATTTTATAATTAGTAAGAAATATAAGAATATTTTCGATGATTTTAATTTAGATTTAATTACTTTTATATTAAAAAAATAAGAAAAAAATAAAATAACTATTATCTTTTATATTAGTAAGAATAAGAATATAGATAATCTTAAAAATAATTCTAAAAATAAATTATTACTAGAATTAGAAGAACTAGACTTACCGGAATTCTTAAATATTATATATACTTAAATAAAAATAAAGGCCCGGTTTTTATAATTTTTATATTAATATAATTACTATTCTAAATAGTATAAGAAGTAGTATAGAATAGGTGTATTACTAGAATTATATAAAAAAACTATACTGTAAGCGTCGACGGTAGTAGGTTTTAATAAAAATAGAATATTATTTATTTATTTTATAGTAGACTGGTTCGGAAAAAAAGTAGAATCTAGTTCCCGTAGATAATACTATAGATCCGGTTCGGAAAATATAAAGAGTCTGGTTTTTATAAATAGAACTGTAGATCTGGTTCGGAGGGTATAAAAAATCCGGTTTCTACAGATAAAACTGTAGATCTGATTTAGAGAATATAAAAAATCTAATTTCTAATAAAAATTATAATTACTGTTCTAAACAGTATAAGAAGTAGTATAAAACTATTAATCTATTAATAATAAAAGTATTTTATAAAGTATAATATATTTTAGAAAAAGTAGATAGAACAGATAGAATAGATTAGCTAAATTTAAAAAATATTACTATACTATAATTAAGAATTTATTATATCTTATATATAATATATATAAAAATAATATATATATTATTAATTAATCTGTAGTTAATAATCTATCTGCTATACCTAATCTTTCTAACCGGTAGATATAAATAGTTAAAATAGCAGTTATATTTTAATCTAATTTTAACTATACAGTTAAAAATTTTTTATACTTTAACCTGGCCATACGGTTATGGTTAGGTTAAGGTTAAGGTATAACGGTCAGGTTAAGCCACTCTAAGTTAAAGTTAAATACTTTATTAATATTATTTATTTAATATAAAAAGTTTCTTTTTAATATATTATTAAAACTGCAGATTCGGCGAGTAGAAAAATATATAAGATATTTTTAAATAAAAATATTAAACTTATTAAGAATTAAAAATAGATTTTTAAAAAAAAGATTAAAAACTATTAAATTAATATTAGAAATATTATACATTTAATAATATAAACTTATTCTAATATTATATTTATAATTAGAAAGCTATTTTATTATATAAATAATCTAATAAAATAATATTTAAATAATTTTTAATTTTTATTCTACTATTTATACTAAATTAAGAATTATAGAATTTTATATATAGTATATTAAAAATATAGTTTAGCTAATAAATTTAGAATTATAATCAATTATATTAATATTAACTATACTAGCTATTTTAATATATACTATTTAACTATTAAATATATATTTATATAAATAAATAATCTAATTTTTTAATTATTATATCTGTAGATTTATATTATTATATTAATATATAAAGCCGAATATATAGCTCTTTATATTATAAATAAAAAAGTCTATTAGATTATTTATATATTTAAAAATATTAGTTTTTAAAATATATATTTAATAACTATTTATATTAATAATAAGAATATAATTATATTAGCCTAGAATAACTAGTTTTACTAAAAAACTAAGTATATTAATATTTATATAAAATACTAGAATTAAAATAGTTTATAAAAATATTAACTAGCTGTATAAACTTTAATTTAAAGACTTTCTTTTTATATATCTACTAAATTCTTAATATTAAAAAACTTTATAAATTATTTATTTAAAAAAAATAATAGTATTATAAAATTCTTTAAAAAAGTATATTAGTATTGGTAGTCTGATATTACTAGATTATATAACAGCTAAAAAGTTTAAAGTATTATATAGCTATATTTAATTCCTTCTAGCAACTAATTAATATTAATTTAAATAGCCTCAACTTTCCAGTCTCTATAGCCGTTCCTTCGACACACTTTGACCTATCAGACTTCCTAAAAAGTCCGTAGCAGGCGCATAGGAGTCAGTAATCCAACACACAGCCATTATTCATCAGCATACTGTTATTATTCACCGCCGTGCTGTTTACAAAACAGTCACTCATACGTAGCCCTGTAGCCTGGTATATTAAAAAGTCTATCATCTATACCGTCGGTAAAAATCTATAACCAGATCGGTAGTTATAGATATAATTAAGATTCAGCAATTGAAAACTGAACTGTACAATCAGATCTAAAGTTGAATTGCTAATAGGTTACCAGCAAAATATTTAACAGGTATATAAGACTTCGAGTAGATTGAGAGGATTGTAGATCTACTTCTATTCAGTTTAGAAAAAAACATTTACTGAGGGTAATCCTTAGAATAAACAACTAAGATCAGACTACTTGCTTCGGAGAGTACTAAACTAGAAGACAACCAAGTTTTATAAACTATATATCTAATCTAGCTTAGATTTTTCATAACAGATGGACACTTGACAGTCTCATATTTTTTGTTTGATTCCTCTGCCCTGCTCTCTACATATACATTAGTTGGGGTCTTGATGCACAATACTTCCAGAAAGCGATGTCTCGTCCTCACTAGAAGTCAAGTCGATCCCATCCGGTTTTCTAAATAGCAACTTGTACACAGGCATTCTCCGCCCGATCCCTGAGAAGGGCAGGTGTAAGAGACTTGGAAGTGATTCTTGCTTTTTGCTTTTTTCTTTCCCCCCCCCTATTAGAAAAGCAGTGGTGTAGACCTTCCTTACCTTACCCTTCCTAACCCCACAATCTCCTCATCTTCCACATGTTTTTATCGCCTGCAATCAGCCGCAGGAATCTCATCGCTTTTGAGAATCATCCTTCCATTAGAATCAGTTTATCACTATCCTCCCTCATCATTATTTAGTTTGCTTCAGTACAAATTTGGGTCCTTTGGGTATCAAGAAAGGCCCCTCAGGCCTAGTGAGCGATGATCCACGAAGAGCACAAACAAGGCTGACTCCAGGCAGCACACCCTGCAATGCTACACAGTAAAAGATCCCTGTCGATGCTAAGTTTCTTAAGCTGTACGTGTGTCGAAGTACTTCTATCCGATCTTACGGAGGCGCAAATGTGAAATTTCAGCCCACAGCACAGGTACCTAAGTTCGCTTTTTCATGGGTCATTAGGTGACTAGCATGAGATGCTCTGAATGCCTCGATTGCACACAAAACTGACTATCGAGAATATCCAAGTGTATACCGGTTACCGTTCAGCTACTATGATAAGCAACCAGAAAGGATACTTTAGCATAAGGAGAAGGCTGAATGGCTCTGATGGAACTAAGCCACAATCAAGTTCAGGGATCAATGAAGTTTCGTTAAGGCGCTTGAACTGAACACAAGGGCCAGGCTTTTCTCAGGAGTCATCTTTGTCTCTGCGCCGGGCAAGTCCCTGTAAGGTTTTGTCTCTCGGATGCATCTCAAATGCTCTGGCATGCTTAGGAGGACCAGCATCAGCAAGATGAAAAAGCAAAAGAAAAGAGAAGGAGCAAAGTAAATGGACGCCACCGACCTTGTTTTTATGAAGTACCCTTTTTTTGCATTGAAAATTCGACGCTTTATCTACAGACTGACTATCACAGACGAACGATCGGCATTGACACTGCCACACCGATAGCAGTCTGGCAAGCTCTGGTGTTTGTTGTTCTCTAGCGCCATGCAGTCAGAATCGCAATGGGTCTTTGGTACCGCAATTGGCCTGAGGTTGGTTACTGTGAGGCTGAAGCCTGTGAGCCAGTCATATCATATGCCTCCTCCGATTTATGTTGTGCATGATGCTCTACTGCTGCCGGTAGACACACAGGCTGAAACCCCCCCCTGAACCTTCAGATATTCCATCTACTTCATGCTCGATTGCTGCCCATGTTTATGGAACAGTCTTTCGCTTCATGAACCACAATCCCTACAAACACTATCTCCCCATATAGTTTGAGACGACACAATGAGCGCCCATACCAACAATACACGTGGGAAAGCCATTCGGCTGCTAACTACCTGGTGGGATCGATTTCGCTATACGATTATTCCGTCGTCGGACAGCAAACCCGAGCACAGCCGGCCTCGACGAGAGAGCTGGCTTCCGCGAGGGTTCTCGAAAGCCCCCAAAGAAGGAAGCGAGTGGATCAAAGGTGCCCTTATTTGTACCTGGATCACCGCGACCATCCTGACCCTCAACATCTCTATGCTCGTGGTCGCACTTGTCATGGCCTATCGAAAATCTACCAACCGAGCGCGGTTTCAGATGGCCGAGCTATATAATGGGCAATGTTCAGTTTCATCTCACTGGTCAACGGGGATACATGTTGCAATCAACGCTTTGAGCACGGTTTTACTGGGTGCAAGTAACTACGTGATGCAGTGTCTGAGTGCCCCCTCGCGCGACGATATCGATCAAGCCCACGCCAGCTCGCGCTGGCTAGATATAGGGAGTTTCAGCTTCCGGAACATGACAGTAATGAGCCCCCGACGAAAGCTCTTATGGGGTCTCCTACTGGTCAGTTCATTACCAATTCATATGATTTATAACTCGGTCTTCTTTACCTCGATTGCTACCCTTACCCCTGGCCAAATCATGGTCCCGCACAATCTCTCCCCAAACGAGTCTTTGATTGATGATAGTGACCCGACAAGCCGCCAATATTTCCGAGAATCAACAGGATACAATCCCGCTGCTCTGCAAGCGCGAATCTTCAATGGAACATTTACCAACGTTACTACTGACGATTGTCTGGCTAAATACAGACCCGAGTACAATACGAAATACGGCACGCTTATCTTTGTTGCTGACAGACAGCACTTCTACAACACCAGTAGCCTGATGACAACTCTGTATCTAGGAGCATCACCACATTCCATAGTATTACCGTCTCACTCGGAGCCATCCGACAACAACTTGACGGTTACTGCTATGCACTGGAGCTATCGCGTGTGGAACTACTCTATAGCCCTTGATGGCCGGTCCTTTGACTATGCTTTTAACTTCGCCGACGCCTCGCTCGTGGGCCTCTGGTACCCTAGCTATAGCATGGACCAGAACATAAGCACCGTCCTGCGTGCTGATATGTTGACCCTGGCTCAATACAACAGTGCCTGCAACCCGTCTCAAGAAGCCCTGCGCGAGTATTTGAGCACCCCGTCACACTGGCAAAATAGCTCTTGGGCGGCCAACGTTACCTTTAGATTCTTTGAAATTGGCAGCCTCCCGCCCCTTGAAGATATAGGTATGCATGTACCAGTGTTGCACTGTCTAATTGATGAATCACAGCAGCACTGCCAGCTGTTCGTCAGTCCACCAATAGCAATTGCCGTCATTATCTGCAACATAGTCAAACTCACGTGCATGGCATTAGCAGCCCGTGTCAAGCGCAAGAATCCTCTGTTAACCACCGGCGATGCGCTGGCGTCATTCCTTAGCCATCCTGATCCAACTACCCGAGGTCGATGTCTTCTCTCGCGCGCACAGATGACCCGAGGAGTGCAACCTTGGAGCCAGTCCGCCAGCTCCGTTGGTCATTCAGAAGGCATCAAGATGGCTTCTGTTGCTCGATCGGACGAACACGGGGTGCAGGCCCCGTTAGACCACCTCTCATCGCCAACTAGATCGCAGGCAACTACCCAACTTTACCCCAGCCTCGTCCCTTCGCGCAAACGATGGTACCAAGCTGTCAGTAGGACTCGCCGTTTGACGGTTCTCTTCTTGTAAGACTAGATAAATACTTCCTTCCTACATCTTCCTCTTTGCTTCCCGAAAATCCCCCTTCCACCTTCATCGCGCACCGACTAAATTCCACCGACCCGCTCCAGTTACATCTCGTCGATCACCGCCGGCGCCTACCTTGTCTACTACGGCATCCAGTTCAGCGACCTGAAAAGCTTCGGGATTGCCATGGATCTGGGGTTCTCCCAGATCAGCAGCGCTACGATCATCGATGGCATCTCCAACAACCAGATCGCCCTGGTCCTGCTGGCGAACACCCCCCAGTTCGTCTTCTCCTGCCTGTACTTCATGGTGAACGGGGTCCTGACCTCGATGATCGTGGACGCCGAGCTCCATTCCTACACTGCGAAGCGCCGCCCGCTGCGCTGCTCCTGGCCGAAGGGCCAGCAGCGCTCCACCTACTACCTCACCCTCCCCTACCGCTACAGCCTCCCGCTGCTGGCGGCGTCCGCCACGCTCCACTGGCTCCTCTCCGAAAGCATCTTCTTCGTGTACATTCGGGAGTTTGATATCTACCAGACTTTCACGGGCACCGAGACGCAGGGATGCTGTTATTCGCCCATGGCGACGCTGGTAACCGTGGTCGTAGGAGCGGCGGGACTGGCCGCGCTCGTCGGACTCGGGTTTCGCCGCTACGACGAGAGCCACATGCCGCTGGTGGGAGGGTGCAGTGCGGCCCTGTCGGCGTTGTGCCACCCGCCTGACGGGGATGAGGGGGCCGCGCGGAAGGCGGTCATGTGGGGGGAGATTCCTCGGGATCCTTATACTCATACTGATCAGGAACTAATAGTTGGTGGGAATGAGGGAGGAGAAGTGGAAGAAGAGGTGGTGGTGGTGGTGGTGGGCGAGTGCACGGGAAACCATCCGAATTCGAGTACCGCTGCTGCGGCGCGGACGGGGACGATGGAAACGGAAGAATATGCACATTGTTCGTTCACGTCTTGGGATGTGGTGACCCCGAATGTGGTCCGGTTATATGCTTAAGCATCATCGCCTGTTAGTCTTAGAATCTATATCTTTCTGCGACCGTAGATCCTGCTTTGTGGTATACACACCCTGAAAGAGGACACACTTACCACGGAGCAGTCGCGTACGCATTCTATAGGTTACTCAATTTTCGATTATCAAGAATGACTACTACTTCGTAGGCGCAGTGTCTCCTGCGAGCCAGACATCATCGCTACGACAAGCTTCACACAATCAGATCCAAGTAATCGTTTCTCGCTATGATACATCGTAACCCAGTACTAGGTCGAAAAAAGCCACTATTATAGAGATCCTCCCCCCTTTCCCACAACCAGTACAGGTATTGAGCATCGGCTGTTCCCAATTCGGGCCTTGGGCATGACTTGCCTAAAATCAATTAAGAAGCATCGTGAAGAGAGAGTTTAGGAAAGACGCGGTACAAAAACAACCGGTGCGATTACCAAGCGTTGACATCGAAGTTTTCCTAAAGCCTCGTCAGCAAAGTGTTTTCCGATTCATGTCCCAAACGAAGACTGCTCACCTCGGAGAAATACGTCGTCACGACGGTCCGGTCAGAGAACTTGCGGCCCGCAAGCGCCTTCAGAGCGTTCGTGGCCGACTCCACCGTGTCGAACTTGACGAAGATCTTGCCGACTCCAGGGGACTGTCTGCTGCCTCCAGAGGGGCGGGGCACCTTCAACTCGATGATCTGGCCGTATTTCGAGCATTCATCACGCACGTCGTCGCAGATTTCTACCGGGCGGTTAGCCACAAGCCCCCACCAGAACCAGCAACCAAAACATACCTTCGTAGTCATCGTTATCAATAAGCTCCTCAGGAGTCACCATGTTCAACAGCTGCAGCACACGGCTAGTCTCCAAGTCCTGAGATGTCGTCTTGGCAAACATGGACATCGCATTGACGCCCATGTCCAGCCCGGCGGCCTGGGTCATTCCGATACTGGCACGCACCACCTTCAGGTGTCGGTCACCCAACTCCATCCCGTTCAACCCCTCCACAGCGATGCTCGTGGCGGTAGGATCGGCGTACTCGCAGAACGCGATTCCCTGGAGAAGTCAGATCTGCTAAAGCCACACGTTCACGAAAACACTTACCCTGGACTCTTCTGTAGAGCTGTCCTTGACCAGAACGAAAGACTTGAGCTCGCCGAACGACTTGAGAAGCATGGTCACCGGTTCCTCGGGGATATAGTTGGGGATGTTCGACACGCAGATCTTGTTGGGCGAGTCAGGAACCTCGTTCAACAAAACTCCCTCCTGGTACTCCTGCTCGACTCCGCTAGGAACAATGTAATCCTTGGGTCGCCGCACTTCCAGCCCTTGCGGCGAGCCGTTGGCATCACCATTGCCGGCAGCCTCGTGCTCCTCCATCGTGATGCCGTCGAACGCAAGGGCAACCGTGGCGTCACCGGGGGTCTTGAACTCAAGGAGAGCATAGGAGCGGTCGGTCGACACCTGGGCCGAGATACAAGGGTCCACACTCTCGACAACGTTGAGGCCGTTAAGTTGGAGGTTGAAGAAGGCCAGGAGCGCCTCCCCAGTGACGGTGGGAGGCAGGTTGTAGACGAAAAGACGCTTCGACTGACGGGAGTTGGCAGGCTTGAGGGCGGAGGTCTCGGTGCTGCTGCCAGCGGGCTGGTTCATGAAGGCTTGGAGACGGCTGGGGTCCATGGGCTGCTGACGAGGTGCACCAGGCAGAGGGAACATGCCTGTATGTATGCGTAAGCGATCGATCATGACTCAATATCCATTGTGCTTACCTGAGAGCTTAGCCTGCTCGGCCGTGACGTTCTCGTAGCCCGGGGGCTTGATGTCCCATTGCGTCAAACGACGCTTGCGATCCAAGACCGACAAGACATCCGTCAGGTCGGGTGTAGGCTCCCTCTTCCGTGGAGGCGAAGCACTCCTCTTGCGTTCCCTTCTGTCGCCGCCGCCGCGCTCGCGCTCGCGATCGCCGCCGCCGCCACCACCACCACCGCTGCGGTCAGCACGGTCTCCACGCTCACGGTCCCCCCGGTCCCGTCCCTCCCGTCGGGGTCTCTCCTCGAACAGGTCTCGGTCCCTCTCGCGGCGAGAGGGTCTGTCTTCGTAGTCTCTGCGGCGGCGGTCGCCTCGATCCCGATCCCAATCGCGCTCTTCTCTGCGGCTGGAGTAGCGGTCCTCGCGTTCTCGGGCGCGGTAGTCACGGCTGGACGAGTACGAGTCGGCCTCGAACTCGCGTCGGGAGCCGCCCCGAGAGCTGTAGTGAGGCGATCTGGACCGTCTTCTGTCGCCTCGCTCGCCTCGCTCGCCCCGTTCTGCTCTCTCCGGTCTGTCCCCTCTGTCCGATCTCTCCGGTCTCTCCGGCCGTTCACCACCACGTTCGCGACGCTCCTCGCGCTGTACATCGTCGGTCGGGTTAGCTAGCTACAGATGGAACGAGAGATAAACATTGTCCATGTCAGTGAACTCACGTAGTAATCCCTAGAGCGACCCGCCTCCGCTTTATAAACAATGTTAGCAAGTGAGCCCACAATAAGCGTGGCTGTTGTCCGGGATATAACTCACGTCTGGCAGAATACGTATCACCGTTCATTGTGAACCACAACTCCAAATAGAATAGTTTCAGTTCCTTATTTTCCCCCCTTCGTCCTTGGGATCGCAAGTGTCGGCTGGAAACAACTAACAAGCTCCAGAAGCAGACCTGAGACAAGAAGTGAGGTTTCAAAAGTGCGACCTCAAGCGCAACCGAGAAGATGGAAAGCAAAGGACGTCTCTCTGATGAAGGAGAGTGGTCGAGCTGCGGCGCTGGGGAAGGGAAAACTCGCTGGCGGCGACCAAGCAAGCGGCAGCCGCCCGGGCGCGCCTTAAAACGGTTAGCGCGGTTGGGACCGCCTTCTTTATCGGACCCTCAGTGGGCGGCAGAATCGGTATCGGTATCTACAGGCGTTTGGGAGTGATCTTCATTTCAAAATACTTTTTGGCAACCTTGTAGGATGCTTGACGAGGCCAATTGTCTTTCATCATGACAGTAGGTGCTTTCTCCGAATGGCGCAAGCTGCCCGTGAGTTTGAGTGAGCTGTGCATCAATACCACCTTACGCTGTGGACAATCATTCCGGTACTGTACTCCTCCTCCCTTCTCGCCTCGCCGCTCAGGGCCCCATGTGCTGCACTATTGTATCCTATAAAGCACTCACAAAGCTGATCCAATCTTTCGAAAGATGGCACAATGTCCCTGACAGCGACGAATGGCGCTGCGTTCTACACGGCCGTCTGCTGTCCCTAAAGCAAGACCCCACCCACCTCTACTACCGAACCTACCTCCCTTCTCGCCCTCCAAAGACCATCTCAACCTCCCCACCACCACCCAAAGCTGCCGCCGCCATCCCCTCAAACCAACAAAAAGCCTCCTCTCCCCTCAAAACCGAACACAACAACCCTATCCCTACGAACGGCAATGATGACGACCCCATCCTCCCCCTCCTGACCGCCTACTTCAACCTCCCAGCCAACCTCACCACCCTGTACGAGGGGTGGTCCCAGCACGACGCGAACTTCCGCAAGAAGGCGCCGCAGTTCACGGGGATCCGCATCCTGCGGCAGGACGCGTGGGAGGCGCTCATCGCCTTCATCTGCAGCAGCAACAACAACATCGCGCGCATCTCGCAGATGGTCGAGAAGCTCTGCCGACGCTACGGCGCCTTCGTGGCCACCGTCGACGGCCGCGCGTACCACGATTTCCCCGGCCCAGAGGAAATGATGGTCGCTGGCGGCGAGGATGTGGAGGCCACCCTGCGCGGGCTGGGGTTCGGGTACCGGGCCAAGTATATCTGTCAGACGGCGCGGATTGTGGCGCTGGAGCGGGAGAAAGGGTGGTTGGAGGGTTTGCGGAATCCTGAGTCGGTGGCGTTGGGACGTCCTGGTTCGCGGGGCGGTGATGGTGAGGGTGACGCTGGGGAATGGAAGGAGGAAGGAAGGGAGGGGTATCGACTTGCTCATGCCAAGTTGCTGGAGTTGCAAGGCGTGGGGCCTAAAGTCGCGGACTGTGTTTGTTTGATGGGGTTGGGATGGGGTGAGGCGGTGCCGGTTGATACGCATGGTGAGTCGTTTCTTTCAGCTTCTCTGTCTGAGGGATTTTACTGACCATGACATATATGTACAGTTTGGCAGATTGCGCAGCGGGATTATAAGTTCGGGAAGGGGTCACATAAGTCCCTTAACAAGGTGCTGTACGATGCCGTGGGGAATCATTTCCGCAAGCTTTGGGGAAAGGAGGCGGGCTGGGCGCAAAGTGTGCTATTCACGGCGAATCTGAGGACTTTCTCGGATCGCTTGGCGGCGACTTCCTCCAAGGTGGGGGTGAAGGTGGAGGTTAAAGATGAGGAAGGAGAGGATGACGGTGTTGAGGTCAAGACGGAGGTTACCACGGCCACGGCTATCCCCTTGAAGAGGGCAGCAAGCGAAGATGGCGTCAAAATTAAGGCTGAGGACGATGCGGACACGCATGCTATTCTCCAAGCCTCCCAGACTACGACCACGAGACGAATGTCCAAGCGGCTCCGGAAACGATGAGGTGATGAACATACCTTGTATCATATTTCTTGTATATATTTGCATTCTGTATCAAATTGAAGAAATAGTTTTGCATATGCAATATTGGGGATATTGCAAACCTCGGGCATGATAGCTTTACAGTCTCGCAATGGTGCTGTACTCATTCAGTATGCAGAGTCTCTTGGTATTCATCGTATCAGCAGGAGAACGCATCACAAACCGTCCAGCACTATATAGATACTCACTCCAGGAGGTATGGTAGCTCGAACGATGCTCACCTCCAACGTACGAGTTATACCTACAGTCGCCTATCATTCGACCCAACCTGTCATCTCAAAATGGATTGCGAGCAATGTGTTGTCCATGCCGAGACTGGGCCAAGAAAACATGTTCCTCCAAGCACCTCCTTGGCACTCGAAGCTTCCACCACACCCATTGTCGGCTTGGCAATGATGCTTTCTGAGCCCGTATCTAGACCAAGCGCGTGGCTTGTCGTTGCCTTGAATCGATAGACAGGGCATCCAAACCAGGTTATAGCTTTCGAGTCATGACGAGCTAGAGTGATCCAATCAACATCACATCCATTGGAGCCATGCAGGCTCCCGAGCCCAAGTTCTGAGGGAGCTGAAATGCGACATTACTCCACAACAGAAGCTAAACCACTGGGCTAATTGACACGGGCAATGATAAGGGAACTAGATAGCATCTCCGATTTCGGCAGTACCCAAGAAGAATCAGGCTGGTCAGTGATCCGAGTCGGTGCTTTTGCTGTGAGACGGCCCATGGGAATGTGCATTTGGCGCGGGGGTAGAGTCCATCGGCAAAGGGTTCCCGACGCATGAAAGTCTTGAGTCAAGGCATGATGAGGGCATGATACCAATTGCCCGGACGGGCTGGCTAAACGAACAGGTACCGATACAATTGGTTATGTATCCTTCGACAAGCAGCCCATTGGTCCATAGGGACTGTACCAATGCCTCTTGAGTCCGACTGCCCGTGTGGACCAAGTCAGAAGAGACTTGGTGCGAAACCGTCGGTGGACGAGCGACGGCATCCTGGTTTCGTGAGTCGGCCGACCAGTCGGACCAAAGGTGATGTTACATAGACTCAGCTAGAAGGAGCAGTGAGTGGGTAGGAATGTTTGGGGTCTGGCACCAGCATATTGGCTCGCGTGGCACCACATGACCGGAGAAAAAAAATAAGTTCGCAGTAGTAGACACCGCGTGGGTGAAGACAGGAAAAGCAAAAGGTAAAAGGTTCAACACTCATATGGTTGAGTTTCGGTGGGCGCCCACTTGGCACCCATGGCTTAACACTATTTTGCATGGACGATGGGGGTTTGGCACGGTTCAAGTTTACCCCGCGTTGGCACTGACTGAGGGAGTGGGGGTGAAATGTGAAATGGGGGAGGGACATTTAGGGGCCTGGCCAGCCAATGTGAATAGGAATAGGAGAACAACAAGCGGGTAAGTTTTTAATCCCACCCTGGTCAATTCAACCATCTGGCAGTAAAGAGCACTTGCTGCAAGCAGAATAATAATAAGACGTCATGGCATGACAGACTCGAAGGTTGAGGAAGACATGGAACTGTGGGAGAACAAGAAAATGTGGGGAGGTTCTTGGCCTCCGGGGGAAAGCTTGGCGATGGAACAGAACAGAACAGACTCCGAGTCAATGGCCACCAATTCCTGATCATCTGAGATGGAAGACTCGGTCAGTCATCATGATGGAAGAGGAGGAAGGGAATTGAGGGAAATTAAAACAAAGAAGAAACAGGGGAAAGGGTTTGGGCGGAGAAGCAGCTGCCTCGTTCTGACTCAGATGAATCCTCCTATCCATCTCCTCCCTCGCATGCTCGCATGGTTTTGATTCGGCCCAGGTGTCAGCCTCTATTGCCTCATGTGAGTGATCGGCAAGAGTCCGAAAGGCTAACCAAAGCCTGGTCCTCAGGAAGCACCTGGGCTACCTAGTGCCTACTAGGTACTAGGTAGGTTTGGATTAGACCCGAGGAGAAATCGCGGGGTCTGTCATCCTCATGGCTGCTCGGCGAACATTCACCTGCCCGACGTCGGCCTTTTAAAAACTGCGGCCGAGTCTCAAATTTCGGTTCTTTTCTTTTCTTTTTCTTTTCTCGCGGTTCACTCCTCGTTCTCTGCCCCTTTCCTTGCTTCTTCTTCAGTCAAACGGTAGTTGTCTGCTCTTCTATCCAGTATGTCTCATGTCAAAGAGGACAGGCCCTCACGGGCAGTCCAGCATCATGTTTCGGACGAAGACGATTTACCGTCAATGAGCGTCGGAAAATACCTGATAACTCGAATCCCAACCCTGGTACCTCCTATGAACCCTGCTCCGAATCCCATCAAGGCCCTTACTCTGCTCAGTGGCAAGCAATGGCTCTTCTTTGGTGTAGGTGACTCGAGATCCTCCGCTCCGCCCGTCCACTGCTAATCGCATTCCTAGGTCGCCTTCTTTGGTTGGACGTGGGATGCCTTCGATTTCTTCACCGTATCCTTGACGACCACCCAGCTCGCAGAGGCCTTCGACAAGTCAGTCACAGATATCACCTGGGGCATCACCCTCGTGCTGATGCTCCGCTCCGTGGGAGCGATCGCCTTCGGCATCGCTGCCGACCGGTGGGGGCGTAAATGGCCTTTCATTGTCAACAACATCATGTTCATTGTGCTGGAGCTGGGAACAGGTTTCTGTAATACATATCGTGAGTTCCTGGCTTGTCGCGCTCTCTTCGGGATTGCTATGGGGGGTCTATACGGCAACGCCGCGGCTACTGCGCTTGAAGATTGTCCAATGGAGGCGCGTGGTATTGTATCCGGTTTACTCCAGCAAGGCTATGCGTTTGGATATCTGCTGGCGACGGCTTTTGCACGCGGATTGGTTGACACGACCTCGCACGGTTGGAGACCTTTGTATTGGTTCGGCGCATGCCCTCCGGTCCTCATCATTATCTACCGGCTCTGCCTGCCGGAGACAGATGCTTTCATCGAACGCCAGAGGACTCGAAACTCTGTCCGGGGTGGAGTGACATCGACTTTCTTGTCGGAGGGCCGGACAGCTTTGAAGCGACACTGGTTGCTGCTGATCTATCTCGTTCTGCTCATGGCGGGCTTCAACTTCATGGTGTGTACTTTCTACAGTTCGTTGTTGGCGTCCACTTACTAAGTAATGCAGTCTCATGGCTCGCAAGATCTGTATCCGACCATGCTCAAGAGCCAGTTTGGCTTCTCGGCTGATGCGGTCACTGTCACCCAAGTCGTCGCCAACCTGGGCGCATTGACGGGAGGCACCCTGTGCGGCTGGGCGAGTCAGATCTTCGGCCGACGATTCTCGATCATTGTGATCAGTGTCGTCGGCGGTGCCCTCCTCTACCCGTACACTTTTGTTACCTCGACCAATGTCATGGCCGCCGCCTTCTTCGAACAATTCTGCGTGCAGGGCGCTTGGGGTGTCATTCCCATTCATCTGATGGAGCTGTCTCCAGGCTCAATCCGCACCTTCGCGGTGGGTACAGCCTACCAGCTCGGCAACCTAGTGTCGTCAGCCAGTTCCACGATCGAGTCAACGATCGGAGAACGGTTCCCTCTGCCACCTTCAGCCACTGGAGCCAAGCGCTACCAGTACGGCAAGGTGATCTGCATCTTCATGGGGTGTGTGTTCGCTTATGTGATCTTGGTGACATTCTTGGGCCCGGAGCGGTTGGGACGTCAGTTCGATGTGGCACATGATGCGGACATGGCGGAAGTGACGGCGCATCACGGCAAGGACGGTGAAGTTGTTGAGAGTGACCCAGAGAAGGGTACCGTGCGGACCTTAGAGGGTTGAAGTACGCAGTGAAAAGACTTTTACACTACAGTACGAGATCTACGATGTGATGATTTAGCGTTCGGAATTTATGGACGGCATTATACTTGGATATCATGACTGGAACGGCTTCCGAGACCTAGCATGTATGGCCATACATATTGATTCTTAATGTCTCCCTCGTTTACCGGAGGAGAAATAATGTAAGTATAACTATGTAGTAAGATTCAAGCTTCGAATTGAACAAGAACTTTAAAGGAATGATTTGGAAATGTTGAACGACTGTAGCTTGCTTAAGAGTCCGTCGCTTGGATTTGTAACCTGGGATTCGACTGGATCAGTCAGTCAACGCACAGGACACCACACAAGCAAGTCAGGATCCAGTCTCAACAGGGCATTTTCAGCATCTGCTTAATTGAAATGGGCTCATTGTCTTGGGTGAAAACCATCACAAGCTTGAAGTCTCTTCATTTGCATCCCCGATGTTGCAGAATCTCAAGAAGAAGACCAAATAAACTCACCTGGAATATTTATGCAGGATTGTGCATAGAGTGGAGAGTGGAGAGGGTGGAATTATCCGAGTTGGGAACTGGGGAGAAGGAGCTGGATTTATAGGTGTTGGTTGACCCCGCACGGCGGTTGCCTGGCTGGCACCTGCAGGGGTGATGCGTGGTCTGATGTATTACTTGAGGTGCTTGGGGATAAACATGGTTGATCGGTCTACTACGAGTTGATTTGGTTGTACAGTACTGTGTAGAAGATGAATACACATCTTTAGTGATTGATGTGTGCCAGCACAGTACGTACTCCGTAATTTGCCCGTTCTCCATCCACTTACTCGGCTGCGGGCTGGGTGGTGGAGCCTGGATGGAGTCTCTCAGGGTCTCATTGCGAGTCCAGACTGCGCCCTCCATATTAGCAGGGTATTTTAATTTGAGAAAGATGAAAGGCCCTTTAGAGCCTGCGATCGATTATGTTGACTGTTGCGCTCTCCCTCACTGCTCCTTCTATCTCCCCAGCATGTAGAAAGTGAGGCCAAGACGATTCTCTCCTCGTAGCTGTCAGGCCGGACTTGATCCATGGGACCCATGGGACCCTCCGGTCTTCGTCCCTTGTATCCCAGTTGGCCGGCGATGCGACGCTGACTTCATGACATCCGGTCTGGGGAGTGGGTTCCTGTAACGCAGAGGATGAGGAAAAGGAACAGACATTCGCTGCTGCTTCATAAGAGAGAAGTATATTAG